TTCTCCTGCTTCAGGCGGGCAAACTCCCTCTCGGCGTCCCAGGCCCAGATGCTGTCGGACGAGAAGACGAGGTTCATCTCCTCGAGCGTGCGCTGGTTGGACTCCGGGTACAGCGCCCAGACGACGGCGATGCAGAAGACGTTGACGCCGCCGAAGATGTACAGCGTCTTCTCGTTGAGCCTGTCGAAGATGGTGGGGAGGAGCAGCACGCACCAGCCGTTGCCGATGGACCAGCCCACGACCCCCCAGGCGTTGCCCTTGGCGCGGACCTGCAGCGGGAAGATCTCGGCCGGGTACAGCCACGGGACGGTGAGCCAGGTGGCGCCGAAGATGGCCGTGTAGAGGAAGACGAAGAAGGTGGCCGCGCCGCCCACGCCCGCGCGGCTCCCCGGTGCGGCGTTGATGGTGGCCCGCGCGAGACCCCCCGCGGCGAACATGCAGACGCCCATGGCGGCTGCGCCCCAGTAGAGGGTCCAGCGGCGGCCGATGCGGTCGAGGGTGAAGACGCAGACGAGGGTGGCGAACATGTAGGTGATGTTGTTGAGCCCGCTGACCCAGAGGCGGTCCTGGGACGAGATGCCGGCGATGGTGAAGATGGTCGGGCCGTAGATGGTGATGCCGGCGATGCCGACCCACTCCTGCAGGATCTGGAGCCAGACGACGAGCTGGACGCGGCGGCCGGTGTGGAGCTTGCCGGAGCCGACGCCCCAGAACATGGCCCAGTACGACTGCTGGCTCGACGTCTCCTCCTCCATGCCGTGGATGCGCACGATGTCCTGCACCTCGGCCTCGGCCGCCTCGCCCTCCTCGCCCTCGCTGCCCCGGAGGCGCTGGAGGATGTAGCGGGCCTCGTCGACGCGGCCGGCCTTGACCAGCCAGCGGGGGGACTCGGGCATGAACCAGATGACGATGAAGAGGGCAATCAGCGGGACGATCTGGAAGGCGATGGGGAAGCGCCAGATGAAGGAGGACTGCTGGTTGGGCATCTTGGAGGTTCCGCTACGGGCAGGGGTTGGCGTGGGTTAGTTTAGTTACATTACATTGCATGACTTACCCCTCCTCTGGACCCCCCAGGTGGTGGGGGGAGGAGATAGGTCATGAGGGTGGAAGAGAACGTACAATTGCAGCCAGTAAGCGACGATGACACCGAGGATGTTGAGGGTGAACTCGATGGAGATGAAGGCGCCTCGAGACGTGTGGGCCGCCGTCTCGGTGGCCCAGACTGGGGTCACAGCATTGAGAATGCCGGTTCCAATACCGTTCAGCACGCGAGCTGCACGTCGGGTTAGCAACCCGAAGTTGAGGTCAGAAACAGAGCATGAGAGACGGGGAAAACGTGGGGGTTGGGGCGAGCGGATGAATGACAAGTTTCCTCGTCCGCATTGTCTCCTCCTCTCTTACACCGTCCTTTGAGGGGGGACTAACCTGAAATCATCCAGGATGAGTTCATGGCCGCAGACTGGAGGGCCGCAGTCAGGACAGACCAGACGCAAGCCATTCCAATGGTCGTAGTCCGGCCATAGCGGTCACCCAGCCAGCCGCCAAGGAGGCAACCGACCAGTGTACCAGGGAGATAATAACATGCGTTCTTTAAACCCGGGATAAGGTTAGCCCAGCTCTCTTCTCAAACGAGTTTCCCGCGGACCAGGGTCGAAACCAAAGTTCGAAAATGCAACGCAACATCGGTCGCCCTGTGTGCCGAACCCGCCATTGGATGAAGCCTGCAAAACTCACGATGAAACCCTGCTTCACGGGGTCGTCGATGACAGCAATCTGGCCCTCCTCGTCCCAGTGGCCGAACTCCATGAGCTCGACGTAGGTGCGGGCCGTGTTGACACCGCCCATCAGGCCTTGGTCGTAGCCGAAGAAAAAGATGGAAATGCCGGCCACGAAGCACACGCTGTTCAGCAGTGCCGACTTTTCGAGCCTGTGTGCCACATTCCAGCGGCCGAGGCGGCCTTTGAGAATGTCGTTGCTTGCCATGATCTCTTCAATAGTTTGCCCAATACCATAAACTGGGACTAAAGAGGGGCAAGAAGGTGAAAGAGTTTAACAAAGACAATTGAAGAGCTTTCTGCCTTCCAAGTAACGTCCACATAACTGATGGGGGGATACCGACTGTATTTAAACTCGGGGCTCCGTGTGGAGCAGTTCCCCCGGAGGACCCCATCGCCATTGTCTTGAGCATGAACATCATCAGCAAGCATCCCACTTATCAGTCTCTTGTTGAGGTGGTGCGATCCCCAATACGGGAGGATGCGAACGGGAGCTCAGACTCTATTGGCCGGCAGACGAGGTTTGATGCGGCTGGCGCTACGCGAAGCTAACTTTCTGCTCCTCTCCTCTGGATCATCTCATGGAGGGTCCACCTCAACTGGGATGGGATGGAGAAGTGCAAGAGTCTTCCTTTCAAAGTTTGTGGGACCGCGGACGGGGGAGGTCACATGGATGGAGTGATCATGTTTGCGGTCAACGATGTCATGATGGGCAGGGGAGAAATGCCTCAAGGTCGTGAACCTAGTATGTCATGTTGATGGTTCATGCATATGAACAATGGGGCAATAAGTGACACTGAGACGGCCAACTGAGAGGTGAGACCTGGGAAAGAAGGGGATATTTCCATAGCAGAGGGCCCAAGAACGGTACCCAGAGTCTGCAATCCCAGAGATGATTCAGTCCCGTCATTAGCACCTCCCAAATGGGTCGTTTTCAGGTCATGACTGTCTGCCTTCACGCCCAACACATCGTCCATCCTTTGTGAAAGGTGAAGTCTGAACATGGGCCATGTCCCGGAAGTGGAAGTTTGTGGGGAAGACTGCGGAAAATAAAAATACGGCAGCCTGGAGCTTCAAGAGCCGTGATTGGAGCGCATAAAGTAAGTTCTCCAGCTGGAGAAGAGACCTGGGGCTCCATGTTTGTATGAAGTAAGAGGAGCAGTGGTCCTACTTGTAAATCTGGCGTGTGGTTGTCCATGTGTACTTACCCGAGGTTATCAGAGACCAGCATCTCATGCATCATATACCCTCCCTTTCGTCCCAAACTCGCATAGCGGATGCAGCTGAAAAGCGAATTGGGTAATCCGAACTTCTGAACGGGCGACGTTGATGCAAGGGAGATCAGCAAGACAGTTGACAGCTCACTCGTGTTTGGGTGACACACTGTTCCATGGTTTCTCGCTGGACTCGAGCGTCTTTACCGGAGCCACACACAGCAGGTGACGGCGCAGAGGGATCTGCAACCAGCTAACTCATCTTTGGCTACCCTTACCCTCTTTTCTCCTCAATTCGCCCCGGGAATTGTTTGTGTGGGGTGAAGTTCCCGAAGCCCGACGACGTAGCTAGCTTACTCGACTCGTGGTTGGATGGATTCACACGGTTGCGCCATAGCACGAGACCACATGTTTTCTCACCGAGTGCCCCACGGCCGAGGCTAGGAAAATTATTCTAGGGATTGGAGATCAGCCGGCGAGAAGGCGCCGAAACGAGGCTCACAGCTGTATTAGTCCTGCGACTCCAGGAGTGAACACAGCTCTCACCACATTCAGTGAGCAACGCCACCTGCATGGCCTGGGTTCAAGGAAGCAAATGACCCAGCAGCATGGTCCAGCATTGATACTTTTTGACGCCTTGCGGGTGATGATTCGAGCGCTTAGGGGGTGAGGCTCCTCCAAGGCTGTCATGAGACGGACAAGGCCTCTCTGTTGAATGGATTGCGTATAAGATGCAGGAATTCTTGGCTAATCATCTCATGCGACGCAATGAAAGGTCTGGGATATCTAGCCGAGATATATACGTTCGTGACACCATAAGCGCTCATGTTGACCTGCAGCGGACGGAGCAAGCATGTGTGAGCGATCACAACGACGCAGCCTTTTTCTCCCCACCTCTTGATCTGATCTGCCGGCTTGGCTGGAACTGCCGGCTCAGAAATCAGCAGCAGATCGGCTGTCCATATTCGTGGCCCGGTCGACCGATGTGTTGCTTGACATGGGTTCGCACAGACTGCCCCTAGTACGTAATTCCACGATAATGCGGCTGTCGCTTGCCCACCGGCATTGACCTGACGATGCCATATGTATGAAGACTCTCTCTAATCAATGAACGTATCGGAATAACGCGCGGGGACCAGCCAGACCGGAGCACACCCTGGCTCCGCACCGCCGTCTTCCTCCGAAGGATGGCTGGCGCGAGGCAATGCGAGATGGAGAAGAAGTAGATAACCGTACGATCGAGGTAATAATGAAAAAAACAGCCACAATTAACACTCGGTGTGTGCCATTCGCGAGTGGCAGAGCAGAGTAGAGCCTTGCCGTATCGCTCCCACACAAATGCGCAACGGCCCCAACAGTAACAGACCTATGTAAGGTACCTCTGATAAGCTTCAACTCGGTTGACCAACGGCGTAACATTGACGAGCTGCTACTGCTCGACAGGCAGCTGACCTCGTGCTCTTCCTAACGGTTCCGCTGCGGGGAGAGACTAGCGAATTGATTACCCGCCACCCTCGGCCGGCCGTAGAGTGAATTGGCCATTTTTTGGGTATTAAAATTAAGAGCGACGCTGGAAAGAAGGAGCAAAAAAAAAAGAGAGTCCTGGAAAAAAAAGCGGAGAACCGTTTAACCGTGGGACATCACGATTTTCGCCAGCCAAAAAGCACGTCGGGGTGCGACTCCGAGTTCCCCGTGTTATGTTCTCTGGACATCACCGAAACGCGCCCCCATAATCCCTCCAAAGCTGTCCCCGCTAGCGCCTTGCAGAGCAGAGCACGAGGAGCATCTGGATGGTAATCGCTGCCCGTCGTCGACCTGGGCCAGGCGTGATCCCCATTACCCGTCCCCAGCAATCAATCCGGTTGGGGAGTGAGGGGGGGCCAGGGCAAGGCAAGGCAGGACAAGGCAAGGCCAGGCCAGGGGAAACCGGCCGGAGGCGCGGCCCCGAAAACCGCTCATCAGCTGAGTGAGCAGCGCGACTGAAACCATCCGACGGGCTTCTTCGTCCACGATGGCGAGGGAGAGCGATAGCGCCCAAGACATGTTGCTGTCGTCCCCGGAGCCTGAGCCAGGCCGTGACGAGCCGCATAGCAGCCCGCACGACCACGAGCTCGGGGAGCGCTCGGCGAAGAGGCACAAGGGCGCCAATGAGTCGTCTCAGGCGTCTGGTGTAAGTCTTACCACTTCCGTTGTCGTTTGCATCTGCCAGAGCGCCATTCACACACCCGTCCTGTCCTACCTGCCCTTCATGCTCTGTCCCGTCTCCCCGCCTGCTGTCCTTGCTCTGGTTCGGGCTTTACCTAAGCCGCCTTGGATCAGATTAGCCTTAACCGGCAATAATGAGTCTATATCCTATCTACCACTCGTTCTGCGGACCATCCATGCCCGTTCCCCTACCATCTGAATCACAAAGTACATACTCTCCCCCTCGTCTTGATATCCGACCATTGCCCTCTCGATCCAACCTACCATCGTTGTCGTCGCATGACGGGATACCTCTTCAGACAAGGCAGTCACTTGGTTGTGGTACGACTTAATGCTAATGACCGAGTCAGCCCACTCGAAGACAAGCTGCCTGCCAGGCATGTCGTGTTCGCAAAGTCAAATGTGACAAGAAGAGGCCATGTGCCCTGTGTCGAGCCAGCGGTGTCGTCTGCGAGTATCTCGGGGACTCGTCAGACAAGATAACGTATGTTCAGCCATCATCGTCCACCAGGTATTCTATTCTTGAGACTGACTTTCCTAGGCTTGAGTCTGCTACAAACAGCATCCTCGAGAAACTAGACCATCTTCGGCAAGAGTTGGAGACTGTAAAACAGGCTACCTCGTCTCAACATCCGCAGGAAAACACCTTTCATGGTTCGTTGCCCTAACCGCAACAACGGAATGATAGACGGGTGTGTATTGACCAATGGATTTAGGACAAGCAGATGATGAGGCCATGCGAGGGCGGTTCCCACGGCCATCACTCCAAGAAAGCGCTCCGCACCTTGTAGATGCTGTCCGCACCCGCTCAGAGATCTCCTTTGAGCCGTCAAGGGACTTCCTACGTATCCCTCCACATCGCGCCAGCGCAGACACAATCCTTCGATGGGGCATCTGGCAGAAAAAGTACCCGCCAAATGCTCTCATTGGTGTTCTCTTCAGTGCAGATCATCGTGATCGGAATTCCACAGGCAGGACGCCGGTTCCTGATCTCATCGCCTCGGCAAGAGGGCTCGTTCATCTAAACGAGGAGCAGATCCCGTCACTTGTCGACTGTTTTCTTACTAATGTGTACACCAAAAACCCGATTCTGGATGTCGAGTCCCTTGTTAAGCACAGCCGAAGATGCTCAGAACACGGAATGGGCTGGGGCGGTTGGTCCTGTCTTGTTCTCATGGCCTGCGCACTTGGTGCCGTTTCAAAACCTTTCGATAGAGCACTACCCAACGGCCACTCTCCTACTCATGAGAGAGCGCCTCGGCAGACATCCAACACTTCGGTCGGTCTTCATTCCCAGGACCTGCAGTTGGGCGATTCTTGCTTCACCCTCGCGTGCCGACGACTCGGATCGCTCAAGTACTCACTCCTGGCCTCTCAATGTCACTTCTTCGCCGGTGTCTACCTAATGTATACGTTACGGCCCCTCGAGGCCTGGCATTATTTCTACCAAGCGTCTCTCTTCTGCCAGTTCGATCTTCGCATGACACATGGTCTCTCCGATACCTTTGCAGAGGTTCTGGGCGCGCCGCCGCCACACACTCTTGATTCAGCAGGCCGCAAAGCCCGCCGTCTCGAGCAGAGCCTCTACTGGTCTTGCTTCAAGTCGGAGTGCGAGTTCCGCGTAGAGCTTCCCCTCCCCCAGTCCGAAATCAGCCTTGGCGAATATCCGAACCTGTTTCCTTCCCCGCCATCTCCTGTTCCCATGAATGCAGACGCGGGCACGACCGACGACGGCGGCGGGATCCTGGGCAATGGCGGCAGCCACTCTCATCTGACCCCCGAGCAACTGGAGCTCCGACAACACTCACAGCGCCTCTGCAACGAAGAAGAGAGCTGGTACTACTACCTCACCGAGATCGCCCTCCGCCGCATTGGGAACCGCATCATCAACACCTTCTTCCACGACCCGGACCAGTCCGCATGGCTCCACAACATCCGTCCCCTCCTTCGCATCGGCCAGGAATTCGAAAGCCAGATATCCTCCTGGTCCGCCCATCTCCCCCGCGCCATGCAGACCTACGAAAGCGAATCCGTCATCCGGGCCCCCCACCTGGACTACTCAAACGAGCGGGCCAGCGGCCACGTCTCCCGCGAGCTCAGCTGGGCCATCGACAACCGCCTCCTCGAGATGCAGACCTGGCTGTACCAGCCGTTCCTCTACTACCTCTGCCACGCGGGCCAGTCGCGCCGCAACAACTCCGCCTCCGCCTCGACCCCCACGAGCAACAACCCCGTCACGAGCCTCCTCAACCCGTGGTCCCCGGCCGCGAGCTCAACCCCCTCAATGGACTACATCGCCGCCGGGCAGCAGCACAGCCAGCACCACCACCACCACATGTCCGGCACCAACAACGCCGCCGCCGCCGCCCAGGCGCTCGCACTGGACATCGATGACCTGCCCATCCTGCACTCCCTCATCCGCTCCGGCATAGACTGCTCGCTCAAGACGATCGACGTGCGCGCCCGCTGGCACCGCCACCACGGGCTCTGGTTCGACCTGCGCGCCATCATGAGCGCCTCGCTCACCCTCCTCGCCGTCGTCAAGAGCGGCAATGTGGCCTGGATCCCCGGCGGGGACGAGACGTTGTGGGGCGTGAGCACGCCGGGCGAGGGCATGGGCGTGACGGCGCCGATAGGGGGCAAGCTGGGCAAGGTGCTCGAGCAGTTCGACTTCTGGGCCGCCGAGGCGCCGGACATGCCGCGGTATCGCCAGGTGCTGGAGTCGGTTGTGAGGGAGGTGAGGGGGTCGTGATTGCGTGTCACTGTACGGTTGTTGTCCCTCTCGGTTTGTATATATAAAAGCACGGCACATACGTTGGATGAGAGACGAAAAAGAAAAACCTGGGAAGGAAATTTGTGCATTTGAATTATTGAGTTGATTGTAAATGATTTACGAGCATTTCTTTTCGCGGATCATGAGCGCTGGGTTACATTAGTTTGGCAGGCGGGTTTGTGGAATAGTACGTATACGGCTCAATGCAGTGCATTTTCTCAACTATTTAATGAGGCGAAGGTAACTGAGTCATTGAAAGATGCTCTCTCTCAGTATACTTGTTGCATCAATATCGTGGTGATGAAGGCATTGAACAATTTATTGTGTGGCGGGCCCTAGTTACTACATGTAGCAAAAATTGAAGCCTCGGAGATAACAGCTCAGATGCTAAAGCAATTTGGCGCAGTGGAAGCGCGGTATGTAACTTCAATGACTCACTGCACTAGAACCCAAAACTAACATTCATCCAGCCGGGCTCATAACCCGGAGGTCCTACGATCGAAACGTAGAATTGCTATTCTGGCTTTCTTTTTTTGCCTTTTTTTCTAGGTCTCTGACCTGGTCCTTGCTGATATTCTATACTGGTATACCGCGTTTCTTTATTATCCAATACTTTTTGCATTGGAAATACTGGTGGGAGTGATGAAGGGGCCATTAGCACCTGGTGTAGCAATAGATATGAGATCCGATATCGCGCTGCCCACGGTCTTTGCCTGCTTGGTTCGCAATTTATCGAACTGTGATACGTTCGTCGATTAATAGTAACGTTTTGTGATGGCTGTTAAAGCTTGATTGGTGACTGCAGCATCCATGCATTTTGTCGTTCCGGTTCCTCCCGAAAATTGCTTCTAAGGCATCCCCATTTCTCCTAGGAGGCTGTACATGCAAACCAAGCCTGCCGGCAATGCTACGTGTGTGTCTTGGCAGGAGGCTGGTCAGTCAGCTGACAACAAGTCTCAAACGAGCTCAGCCGCATGGCTGCAGCACCCCGCGCCGTATGCATAGGATGGTAAATCTTCCAAGGAAACACGCCTGTTCGATGGTGAATGCGTAAGTGAGAGTGACCCCAGAGACGGTGAACAGCTTCACTTTCGTCTTGTGTCGCAACTGAGCGACCTCGGGTTCCCGACAAGATGTCCTACTCGCACGATCAACAGCACCCGGAATCCGTGATAGCCAAACCAAAATGCTATCGCATCCAGATGATACCAAGCGCAACCACAGAAGATCAAGTAAAGAAAATGATCAATGATAATCTGCCAACTCCGCTAGATGGGCTACGAATCACTCTTGCCCCATCACCCCCCCGCTGGCTCACTTCCACCGTTGTGTTACGAGAGGCCCTTAAGACGTTCGAACATCCTGTTGATGACGACTTCATTGGCATAACACCATTTTATGGAAACGAGCTTTCGATGGTAGAGTAAGTTTTTGCAGGTGATGGCGATGGATGGTATTTGAGCTAACGCCGCTGTAGCATCATCACCGTTCCAGGGTTGGGAAGCAATGCGTTCAGTGGCTTCAAAGTGAAGAATGGAACAGCTAACTGGATCCGCGACTTCCTCCCAGAGGACATCCCTAAGGCTAGACTTTTGACATATGGCTATGCCAGTTCGCTTGCTGCCACCGATGCAAAATATTCCGTTGGGGACTTGGCCAAGACCTTCTTGGACTCTTTCATAACCTTTCGTGAAGACACGAATACATCTCAGAGGCCAATCATCTTAATTGGACATAGCCTCGGTGGGCTGGTAATCAAAGAGGTTTGTGTTATTACTAGAGTAGTGCCTTTCTTGAAGCTAACTAGACATAGGCTTTGGCAATCGCGCACAACGCTGCTAGTGATGACCGATACGGCAACTTTTGCAAGTCCTCCTATGGCTTCGTCTTCTTCGGTGTTCCAAACCACGGTATCCGGCGCGGGAGCCTGAAAGATATTGTAGTTGGCCAGCCCAACGAGCAGCTAATACATGATCTCGAAGTAGATAGCGAGGGCGAGCCGACTCCTTATCTTCGAGAACTAAAGAAGAAATTCCTTGACAGCTGTAAATCACAGGCGCACCCGTCCAAGGTCATTCTATATTATGAGCTGAGGAAGACGCCATCTATTAAAGTAGGTTTCTCCCCCGTTATTCGAGTGTCTCTATGCTAAGATTTGTCCAGAGGGCCGACGATGGGGCCATTTCTGCCTCTGGTGACCCAAAATTCATGGTTACGCAGGACTCAGCTTGCCAAATTGGCCTGGAAGACAACGAAATCAACAAGCATGCTATAGATGCGGACCACTCCAACTTGGTTAAATTCGCAAACCAGGTCGATGCTAATTACTCCCGGGTATTGAGCCAATTGAAGCGGATGGTAACGGAAGCACCAGAAGTAGTGCTTCGTAGATTCGAAGAACATCGTAGGTGTGAGTGATCTCTAGAAACGGGTAGTGGTTAACTTGAAGCTGCAAAGGGCTATCCTCATCGCAGACGGGAGCCAGCAATCAGTCACATCACATTGCGCAGGATGAGGCCAATGTTAACCCGATGCTTCAGCCTGGTAATGACGAGGATGAGTGCATCCGAGAGCTGTTTCTCACAAGCCCAGCCAGCGACCGTGATGAAATTATCACTGCAAAGGGAGACAGGGTCGACGGCACATGCGAATGGATCACATCCACTGTTGAGTATACTGAGTGGATGAAATCTACCTCCGGCCTTCTCTGGATAGTCGGTGGACCTGGAAAAGGCAAAACGTTCCTCTCCATCTATCTCACCGAGATTCTGGATAATGCCGGGAGCACCTTGATTTATTTCTTCTGTGATAACAAGATCTCTTCTCGCAATACACCCTCGGCCGTTCTTCGCGGGATCATGCATCAACTGATCGAGCGACACCCCCGGCTCGTGAAGCATCTTGTACGGCCTTGGCAGCTTCGAGGGTCCGCATTGTTTAGTGACAGCGGATTCGAAAGTCTTTGGGGAATATTCCAATCCATGGTTGAAGATTTGAAAGGGCTCGAGCTTTGCTGTGTCCTTGATGGCCTGGACGAGTGCAATGAACATTCTCTACAACAGCTTCTTCGGAAAATAGAGTCGTTGTTTAACGAGCATGGCGGAAAACAAACACTAAAAATGATTGTCGTCAGCAGGAGGCACCCTAACTGCCTCGAGAGTACTTTGGGTTCATTCAGTCAGATTAGCCTGGACTCGGCTCATGAAAACAATGTTAAAAGCGACATAGATTCCTATATTGCAGTCCGGTTAGCTGACCTCACCAAGAAACGGCCGATTCCACAAAGTCTGGCCAATCACATTGAGGAGACGTTCCACGAAAAGTCCCAAGGTACATTTCTTTGGGTTAGTTTCATGATGGAGGATTTCCATAATAAGAGTGTTGCTAGCATTGAAAAGGCCTTGGATAGTCTTCCTTTTGGTCTTGACGAGGTTTACGAGCGGATTCTCTTGCAGATCCAACCGGAAAATATGGCCATCATCACAGAAATCTTGAATTGGGTAGCTTTGTCCCCCAAACCACCGAAAGTGGCACAGCTTGCTGAAGCGGTGGGGATCCAGGCTTCAGAACATTTATCTCGGAACCAAATCTGTCTGCACCATATCGAGTCTTGTGGCCATTTACTCCAAGTACACGATAACGACTGTTCCTTACTTTCGCAGGACGGGAACGAAACCGAAAAATCAATGTTCAACTCCACAGAGAAATCCTCCTCAACGGTTACTCTTGTTCATCAGAGCGCGAAAGACTTTCTAACTCAACAAAACCTATCGCCAAGAATTAAGTCGTTCCAAGTTCATGAAGCCCGTGGTGATCTTTTAATTATGGAACGACTTCTGTATTTAATGCAAGGGGACTGGATTCGAGTTTTACCCGAGATAGGTTTTCAAGGCAATGCTTCGTATCCCCTGCTTGACTATGCGAGGAAATGGTGGACATATCACTTAAGACAGCTCAAAAACAAAGATCTGTTGAACTTGGTTGAGAAAAACAAATCATTCTTTGCAGATCATTCGGATATTAGAGATCGTTGGGACGGTTCCGAGAAAGGTCGTCCTGTACTTCATTTTGCATGCGAGCAAGGGCTTGTTGCCTTGGTCGAGAAGGTTTTGAAACGGAAGAGACGAAATCCGTTTACCTTCCAAAGATATATTGACAAGCCATGGCCAGACACGCCGCTTGCTATCGCAATCGATTGTCGACATGACACTCTCGTTGAGATGCTATTGAAGTTCGGGGCGATAGTTAAGAGACATCACATAAACCGTGCCGCTTTTTCCGATCACCTCAACATCTTTGAACTCCTTTCCGAAACGAAAAGTGGCAAAAGGTTTATCAAAAGGGACCTTGCTTCACGGCGTTCATTGATGTATATCGCTATCAGGATGGGCGACGAGAAGCTGTGTCGGCTTCTTCTGGAGAGATACGGGTACAATGTAGATGCTCTAACCGTGAATCAGTCCCCTCTACTTGTTGCAATTAGTTGGGGGCATTATGAAATTGCAAGGGTGCTTGCTGCCGGCTACGGTGCCAGCACCAATAATCATGATGAGATCATCTCGGCACTAATTGAAGGCTACCGTCAGTTTGAACGATACCGTCCTTCCGCACCCTGCAAAGAGCCACTGCAGCTGATCTTTTCCGAATGGAAAGTCGACATAAACCGACAGGATAGGACTGGGCGCACAATACTTCACTTAATTCTTCAGGAGATCCCAAGCGTCTCGGAAGACGGCTATAAACTTCTCAGACAGTGTTTGGCCGACGGATGTGATCCAACGCTCAGAACCATGGAAGGCGAGTCCCCCCTTCACTCGATTAAATGGTTTGCCCCACGCAAGGACCGCCATTACAGAGAAATGGGTCTCTTCCCGATGAGAAGGGTCATTTTATTGATGGTCGAAGGCGGACTCGATATCAACAATCCAGGAAAAGGAGGGATTCTCCCACTCCACCGACTCATACAAGATGCATTCGATCCTATGATTTCCCAGCACAAAGTGGACAGTGCTGCTAAAATTAAGGGTCTTAGCCGGCTTCTTGATCTTGGCGCCGATAGAAATATCAAAACATCGCTGGGACTGACCGCCGTACAAGTCGCCAAACAGTGCTATGACATGATACAAGACATTGAGGGCCACGAAGGATACTGTGCAGAAACGTTGGCGGAAATCACCGACGTACTAGAGAACTATGCCACTGTGACCAACGCAGTACAAAATCTAGCCTATGCAGGTTTTGAATCCTCAGAAGGACCGGAAAGCTTCGGGATGTCGGATTTTTGGAAAAGAAAAGAAGAGGCTCAGGTCAACCTAGGTAAACGATCCTGCCGTTGATCGAGTACTCCACATTCATGATCGTCGTCACTTAATGGCTAGATTAGCTGGATGGTTGTAGAAATAGTGTGGTGATGTGAATAAAGGGCAAATGTTTCACATCGCTTGTCCGTAAGGCGTATAATATGTGCAAGAGTTTAAATATATTAATAAGATGATTATGGGGACATTTGTTTCAGCTATTCCGGTCGTAACCGGCGCGATTCGCCACCACTTTTTACAATCAGGTCCTTCGCAGCACTCGGAACGGCTGCTTCGCCGCTCAAGCCGTTTCAACCTTGCGGTCAACCTCCATAACACTGGTCTCTTTGCTTTCCTCGAGTCCTTCTGCATTCTGAGGCCCATTCTTCCAAGGTTGGTTCTTCCAGTGCCTTGCCGGAATGCCCTCTCGGAAAAACCCATTGATCTCTTCGATGCTACGTCCAGTGACTTCTCCCACGCAAAAGTAGACATACGCCCAGGTGATGAAGCAGAGCCCCGTGTACACAAATCCAGTCTTGGGGCCTAGATTGGCAGAGTAGTACAGGTACGGAAGGGTGAAGACCGTGACCCAAACTGTGACCCAGAATGAAGCCACGGCAACTGCATAGATCTTGTTGCGATTGCGTCCCACTGCCATTTCGGACGCCTGTTTTGCCACGTTAGCAGTCATTTACAGATGATGGAGGATGGGGGGATGACTTACAATGGTCCAGCCCAGAGGACCCCAGGCAAAGTTGAATGCCGCGATCTCGATAATGACGAAACTGATAATCACCTTCCCAATTGTATCGCTGGGGTTGTTTCCTGGGATCCCAAGACACCCTACAACAAAGATAGAAGCGGTCATGATGCCGGTGGTGACCATCAGCAACGGCCGTCGAGGGAGCCTGTTGGCCAACAACACGGCGGCCAAGACGACAAACACTTGGATGATGAAGACAATAAGCGTCATGAGGAAAGGGTCGCTCAGCCCGATGGCCTTGGAGAAGACGGTGCCGAAATAGTAGAACCATTGGATTCCGTTGACCTGCTGGGCGATGAGGGCTCCGGCGCTGTAAACCACCTTGCGCCGCTCCACGGGATCCGTGACGAGCTGCATCCAGCCGCCGTCGGATTCCTGCTCGGCTTCCCGGTCCAGATCCGCCTGGATTGCGGCCATCAGAGGCCTGGGATCATAGTTCTTGTCCTCGTGTCGGAGAAGACGCAGCGCCTTGTCAGTCTTCTCGGACCTGCCCTTGCGGAGAAGCCATCGGGGAGACTCTGGCACCCAGTAGAGACCGATGAGGATGATTGCGGGGAAGAGGAGCTGGAAGCCGATGGGGAAGCGGTAGGCAAAAGTTGTGTCGATATTGACGACGCCGCGGTTGATGGCGGCGGCGATGATTTGGGAGACGGAGAGCGTCAGCTGCCAACACATGAGAAGGGGGCTGCGCATAGAGTCTGGCGCAATTTCCTATGAAAGGGTTAGCCATAGCCGAAAAAAACTTTGGAGATACTGGAGGCGAAGAGAAAAAGTACTCACACCCATATACAAAGGAGAAGTGGCTGAGAAAGCGCCAACTCCGTATCCCAAAATCGCTCGGCCGGCTGTAATCAGGGATTGACTAGAGGCCGTGACAAGCTGCATAATGACACCGATGATGATTGCCACGGTTCCGACAAGAAAGACACCCTTGCGTCCCAAGAAGTCGTTTAGGGGCGCTGCAGTAAGGGATCCCAGAAGCTCGCCGACATTGATCATGGAAGTCATGACGGCGAGATTGGATGGTGAGATCTCATACTCCCCGTGGGAATTAAGCTGGCCAAAGTGGCTCACAAAGACATCTGCGCGTATTGTCAGAATCAAAGTCCATCTTCAACAGGCCGGCAGAACCTACCTAATGTCGAAACGCCGTTGAAGTACACTCCATCATATCCGTAGAGACAGGCTCCAAGGGCAGCAAAGCCACAGAAGAGCCAGACGTATGGATACTTGATCTTAGCCATGATACCGATATTGATGATGAGTGGGTTTGCTTAGTTGTTGGGTATTCCTGGTGATGGGAGAGCAGGCATCCCGGGTCTTATATCCCCAGAGCCGCCACAGGAGTCAGAGTCATTTGCCTTTTGACTTTTTTGGAACAACACCCCATGCTCCGCAATATGGGAGAGATTACCCCAGATAGTGTCCCAACGGCCTGGTTTCTGGGGCCACATGAAGAGTTGCGAACTGCTGATGAGGGAGCGAAGGGTTTCTTGTGGGACTAGTGACCCCAGACTGATCCACATCGGGATATCTTCTGAACTCTGGTTCGACGTGAGTGAACTATCGTTACCGTCGCCTTTCCATATTTGGAATGCCGTCGGCCGGCATTCTCAATGAGGGTCCAGCGACGGCCTCGGCCGGGACATGGCTGCCGTCGGGGAGAGCATGCCATCAGACGGCGTTCCTCTTCTGGGGTCCATTGAGGGCGTGGGTTATTCATGGGAAGGTATATTATTTGTGTGGCATCTTGGATATGGAGGACTGTTTCGTAGCTCACTCCCAAACCAAATCCCAAGTCTGAATTTGCCGTGGTCATGGGTTCAACGAGCCACCAAGACCTCCACCGCCAGGTGCCAACACCTCCTGCCGAAGACACCCTCTACAGCCGTCCATCTGCAGCTCAAGCAGCTGCCGATGTTATTCCCATCCTCGTGGGTGACACATATCATGTATTCCATCTCACAACACCCCCGTTCACAAGGCATCACCCTCCACGTCTCAGATCTACTTGGTCACGACTCAAGACGAAAGACTTGGTAAACTGGACCAGAGACCAAGAAATGGTTCTCCGTCCAGGAGCTAATTCGTCAGACCCCGATGCTGACGGAGCATGGACTGGATGTGCCGTCCAGGGACCAGACGGGTGTATGAACATCTTCTACACCGGTTACAACCTCTCACAGAACGGCAAGCAAGTTATTCTGCGAGTGGTTTCAAACGATCCACATGGGACTGTGTTTAATGGAGAAGCCAAAGTTATCACCATCCGTGGAGATGGGTCACAGTACGAGGAGATTGACTTTCGAGACCCTTACATCTTCTTCAATGAAGCAGAGGGCAAGTACTGGATGCTCGTTTCGAGGCGCCTCGCTGCCGGCTCGTACTGGTATAGAGGGTGCATCGCGCTGTTGACATCAACAAATCTCGACACGTGGGAGCTTGAACCCGAGCCTCTGTATGCACCCAACGACATGCTATGCCCAGAGTGTCCGGAGATGTTCTCGCTTCCGAACGGCAAATGGTATCTGGTCTACTCCAGGTTCCATGCACCCAACGCGGGGACCGTGTATCGCATCGCCGATAGTCCTCGAGGGCCTTTTCGTATCCCGAGAGACGGATCACATGGGAGGCTGGATGGAAGGAGGTGGTATGCCGCCAAGTCCTGCCCCAAGGCCGGAGACCCCGAGAGGCGGGTGTTCTTTGGTTGGATGGGCGACTATGTCGACGAGGAGGGGAAGTGGCTATGGGGAGGCGACCTTGGAGTTCCTCGGGAGATATCCGCCGGAGAGCAAGGCTGCCTGAAGCTCGAAGTAGCCTGCACGTACCTGAATTATCTTCGGCAGTATTCGCAACCATTGACACCTGGCATTAGCTCGACCTTGGATTTAACCTCCATCGGGTCTACCGTCAACCACTTCCCCAAGATCAGTCCTCAGGAGCAAGATCGGGATATACTTGTCAGCTTCCGCCTGAAAAGTGATGCTCACGCTTGCGGAGTGGTGTTTCAGCACGACAATACAGGAAAAGGCTACACTCTGCGGTTTGAGCCATCGACGTCGGGCCTCTTCTCGATGTCGCTACTTGTGGATTTCCCGTCTTTGGATGACTTTTGGGCCGACCAGTACAACATCCATCTTCCTCGGCCCGTGGATGGTCCCGAGATTACTAGACACGAAGAATTAGACGTCTCCGGCGGAGTTATTCTGTTGTTGAGAGGGCAGGTCATCGAAGTATTTTGCGGGGGCCGTTCCATAAGCTGGCGTCTCCCCCTCCCTAATGGTTCGACCAGGCCCACGGGAGAAACAAGGCGGTTAGGATGGTTTGTAGAAGATGGCTCAATGTCGCTCAGCGATCTCATCGTGCTCGCTGTGAAGACATAAGACTAAATCTCAGTATTGTAATGATAGACTCATAAACTTACATATTACATATTAAGAATCTATACATTAGCTAGTTTACAATGTCCCGCCCGTATTACCCCTCATTGTGAGTTCTTCCGGTGACAAGATCATGCCACTCAGCAGATCGTACGCCCCATCAGCTGCCAGGTCCCAGTCGCCAAAGTCGGTAAATTCATAGGTCTGGGCCGTTTGAAAACTAACGACATCAAGACCGACGTTGTCATCGATGGGCTCATTCAGATTGACAGCCAGCGAGTGCTCCAAGCCCCGAAGTATCGCGCCTTCAAGCCGGTTGACTGCATACTGCATTGGTCCACTGCCTTTGCTCATCACCCGTAGCGTCCACAGGTACGAGTTCAGCGTCTCTTGCCAGAAGCTTCGTTCTTGCGAAGAGAGCGACGTGACCAGTAAGAGAGTGGTGAAGGATCCCAGCAGAGAGAATAGATACGGGGACGTGAAATACCAGAACGCCTCGAGGTGGTCAGGACGCAGGCTTGTAACAAAGGAGATCGCGCCCTGCGCTGTCTGTAACGCGAGTTGGCGGATCTCGGCCAGGACCTGATCATCTACACATCGAGGAGGCAAGACGGTTGAGCGAATAAGACGACGTAGCAAGCTTATCATGACTCCATAGTAGGAAAAGTGAAGATAGCCATGGAAGCACAGCTTCCTCTGATAGGTGATCCCCATCTGCAATTCTGGTGGAATACTATTACTCCATTGTCTTAGTGCCTCAAATAATGGTTGGGCCCGTTGGTATAATAGAATAGTATCCTGCCCGCGGCTCGCACGAGCAGTATAGAATGCAGACAGTACCGAGGAAAGAATCTTGGTGAGCTGGACCATATGTACATATTGCAACATACCAGTGAAGACGAAAGATCTCTGTTTGTCTCCTTGGTTCGGTGGCAGGGGATCTTCACTGTCTGCGAAATCGGCATCGGTAAGGTCTTCGGTGGTCCAGTCATCATCGTGGATGTGAACGGGTCTTCCATAGGCCAGGGCCGTCCATCTGTCCTGCATGTACAACGCCCAGCTAAGCCTCTTGCGTACATTCCTCTCCCATGGTGGAATCGACCAGCTGCTGGCATCTAAATGCAGCCCCAGGCACTGGCCGATTGCCAGAGCTTGGCATGTAAGACCCCACTGGAAAGTATGGCCAGGGTTGAGAGGATCCTCGGGCTGGCATTGCAGTAGAAGGAGGGTGGCTTGGATGGAGGATAGTTTAGGGCGGTGGTAGCATATTGGAAGCGATTTGTATATCAGCTTCCGGAGAGTTGCAGCATTGGGAGGAGGGTACAGAGATAGCTCAGCATCGTACCCCCACCACCGAAGCGCAGAGAGATAGATGGCTCCCAGAAGCGCGGCCGGGACACACTTGAAAGAACGCTTGTATCCTTGCATGAAGACATCCTTTGATAGGATGGGATAGCACGGTTGCACGTGTCTCCAAAACAGGTCCAAAAGGGTTGGTCCATGGGGGGTAACGCAATTCTCAATGGCAGTGACCTGGCTGAGATCGACGTCTGCCTCGAGGGCTTTCTCATCTGCGGCCACATGGAACGTGAGGGGGTACTCCTGGCCGTCATCCTTGTCAAGGACGCGTCGGATGGCATGAGTCTCTAGACAAAACTCATGTGTCGAACTGTCATATGGACGATACTTCATCAGGATCGGTTCCATATCACTTCCAAGGCCGTAGAGCTCAGCGAAACGAGACGGCGCGAGACCAAGGGACGCGTCCGCCGGAGAGGCACGACCGAGAGCATTCTGCTCCAACGAGATATCACTTTGCGGATTGTTTCCATGGCCACGAGATGGGAGAGGAATTGTCGTGGTTGGGGAGGGGCCGTTTGGGACCCCCGGTTGTTGGACCTGAGCCGTATCTGTCGAAGGGGCAATGGGGTTTCCTATCACTGCCCCCTGGGTCATTGGCTGCCGCCGAGGAGGATCCAGTCTGAAGGTGCATGATGTTTGTTTAAGCTGGCAGTGCAGACAGCATTGGTCGTCATCAACGCCGGGGATGCAGCGTGTCTTCCGTCGGCGGCATGCGTCACAAGGTCGCCCAGCGCGCTTTTGGCGTTTTCTAGATCTCTCCTCATACTGCAACGGCGTGGTCACCTCCATTGATTATCCCATTTGAAGAAATTGAAGACACAGAACCCTTCTAACAGACGGAAAGCTATTCGGATACTCCCTAGTGTAGGTCTCTGGCGCACGTGCTCCAATACACTTGATTATCTAATCAGGATTATAAATAATATTAGATATTTTATTAGTATACTAGTCACCTATATAGAGGGTCACTAGTTAAAAGCTAGTTATAGAGCTATTAGCTTAATTATAACTACTCTAGAACTAGGTATATAATTAGCCTAGCTCTATAGCCTAGGATAGTAATAACTAATAATAACTAATATAACCTATCTACCCTTATATATAAGCTTAGGAAATACCTTCTAATACTAATTAGTAATTATATAATAGCTATAGATTAGTAAAGAAGAAGAAATAGGATTTTTAAAATATCTAAGGAAGTATATTCCTCTTATAGATATTAATCCTATACTATAGAACTATATATAATATATAATATAATAATATTATTATCTTTTATATACTTTAAATAATTACTTTAAAGACTATTATATCCTTTAATAATACTATTAGTACTAAATATACTTTTAAAGAGTATTATATTATATATACCCTTAATAATATAAATAATAAGTAGTTATAAAAAACTATTTATCTCTCTAACTACCTAAATATAAAAGATTACTCTTATAAGAATACCCCTTTTTTAGATTTTAATTAAGGACTAAAAATCCCTTACTTCTTTACGCTCTCCTTTACTACTATATAATTATCTATAACTTACTAGAACTTATATACTCCCTTATTATAGAATCCCTATATACTTTAGAACTTAAAAGCTAAGTAAATATAAAGGTACCTTAATATAGAAATACTAATTATAATAACTATCTTTAATTATAATAAGGTAGAGGAGGTCTTTAATATAACTAAATTAATAAAAACCTCTATTAATATTATTAATTAAATAAATTACTTAACTATAATAGCTTAAATTACTAATTCTAAACTAGTTAATATATATATAGTATATTATATATATTACTATAAATATATTAAACTATATAGTAATAACTTATTAAGTAAATATATATATAACTTTAGGGATTAATTAATAAATTAATTTATACTTATAAATAAGGATATTATTAAAGAAATAAAATATATTCTATAATATAATAGTATATATATTAGCTCTTTAAATAATACCTTTAAAGTAGCTCTTAATAATATATAAGGACTAAAGAACTTACTAAAATAGTTAAAGTCTTAGTAATTCCTTATTATTACTTTTAACCTAGCTTCCTAGATATTTTAATTATAAGAATAATATAGAAAGTCTTAGTATTATATAGTATTAATATTATAATTACCTTAAGAAAGAGAAGTAATCTATATAGTTAAGGTTAATAAGATAAAAGTACTTAAAAGAAGTATAAAAGTAATTTAATAAGTATATTAACCTCCTTAGAATATAGTTCTAAGGTAGTAATCAAAAGGCTATATATATAGCTTATATAACTTATACTATAACCTTCTACTTAAAGATAGCTTTAGAATAAGTATTATACCTATATAAGAACTTATAGCTTTCTAAAAGCTATATAATATAAAGGAATATATATTTAGAGGAGACTTATATAATATACTTAATATAAAGGTTAAGATAATACTAATTATATATAAATCCTATAATATATAGCTAAGTAGATTTAAAGCTATTCTTTTTTTAAATCCTTAAAGGGAATATATAAGACTTTTAGTTTTAATATATTAAGGAAGAGTATATATTTAGATAAATATATCTTAAGCTAAAATAATATTTTAATAATATTATTAATAAGTAATAGTATTATTATAATTAAACCTAGACTTCTATTATTTTAATATAAGTAAATAAGGAGAATAAGGATCTTATATTATATTAAATATTATAGAAGGTCTTTACTATACTTATAAAAGCTTAAAAAGTACTTAAAGATACTTATAATAAGGATAATAACTTATAGGCTATTATAGTAAGAGTATATAGAGATTTAAAGGAGCTAGAAATAATACTTTAAAGAGAATATATAAATACTAAAGCCTTAATATAATATTTTATATTAATATTAAAGATAAGCTTATTAAGATAATTAAAATAAAGCTTAATAACTTTAATAATCTAAGATATAATAAAAAATATATATCTTATTAACTAATAGTATAAACTTACTTAAAAACTATTAAATAGAATATAATAATAACCTTACTATATATAGAATATATAAAGTAAACTACTTAATAAAAGCTTTATTAATTAAGATTAAGGATTATAAAGGAATAATTAGAAGAAGTATTACTTTATTTATAAGAAGCTTAATTATTAATTTATAAACTACTTATAGTAATAATCTAAAGTATATTATTAATTTATAATTAACTTCCTAAAGGTAGAAGAGGAAGTAGAAGAAGATAAAGTACTAGAAGAATTTAATTAATAAATTTAAAATTAAGAAAAGATTAATAATTAGTTTAAAATAATAAACTTAAGTAACTTTAATAAATATAATAGTTTAAATAAAAAGGGCTAAGGAGTAAGTTATAATAAGTAATACTTAATATAATATTTACTAAATAAAGTATTTAAATACTTACTCTTTAAAGAGGAGATTTAGGAAGAACTATAAGACTTATTATAATTTATTATTAAAGAAAGATATATAATATACTTCTAAGGGATTATACTAAATATAAGTACTTTATTAATCTTAATTATAGGTAAATTATAATATAAAGTACTTAAGAGAATTAACTTATTTATTAAACTAAATACTATAATTAATATAAAAAGTATTAAATTTAAAAAAGAGCTTATAGAGTTACTTAATATAATAAGATTATATATACTCTTTAGATTAATTATATTTTATATAATAAACTTAGAAACTCCCTTCTTAATATACTTTTAAGATATAGACTACCTAAATATTAAGTTTAAAAATATAATTAATAAAGTTATTAAGACTATAAATAGCCTTTTTACCTTAATTATAAGGAAATAGAGCTATATATAATTCTTTCCTAAATATATATTAATAATTAATATAGTTTATTTAATAGAACTAGAGCTAAGATAACTTTATTATTATTTTAATTACTTATTAGTAAAAAAGCTATATAAGCTCTTAAAGAGAGTAAGCTATAAAGATATAAATAAAGAGATAATAAAAAGAATTAAATACTTTTATTATTAATATTAAGCCTATAGCCTAGCCCTAAAATACTTTAAATTTAAATTATAAAATAATCTTAATTTTAATTATAAAATTATAGTTAATATTATATATTTATTAAACTATAAACTTATCTTATATATAGTATATATAGTAATTATATTTTAAAATATAACCTTCCTTAAAGATATCTTAATAAAGATAGTATAAAAAGTATTAAAAAGGATCTAGCTAAATATATATTTAGGACCTCTAGATTATATTATATATAATATAAGAATTTAATTTATAAGTAATTACTTTCTTATTATTTTATTTATTTTCTCTTACTATAAATAAGGGTTATCTAGTCCTAAGATTAGACTATATATATAACTATTATATATAGTTTTTAAAATATAATTTATAGCCTATACCTAAACCTTTAATACTATAAAAACTTAAATATTTATATATTTAGCCTAGGTATAGGTATTAATATCTTATTAAAAACTCTAATAAGAGCTAGCTAATATATAAGTTAGCTATAGCCTTAAAAGGGGATACTTATTACTATTAATTATAATTACTTTCCTATATAGTAGTAATAATAGTAATAATAATAGTAATAATAATAATAATAAGATATTATTATCTAATACTTATATCCCTACTAGTAAGGGCTTAGTTATTAAAGTAGATAATAAGCTCCTAGAAGATATACTACTTTTAATTATAAATAACCTAAGAGAGCTATACCTAATATATATAAAATCCTTAAGCCTATATTTAATTAGAGGGCTTCTTATAGTAATAAAGCTACTAATAATAAAGTAAATCTAATAGCTATATCTACTAGGTTTAACTCTATATTATACTAATTAAGTAGATAAGGTAAAGGTATTAGATAAAGTACTCTTTAGGGATATAAAAGACCTTAATAGGCCTAGCCTTAGTAATAACCACCCTATTATATATACCTATTATAACCTAGTATTTAACTATTAGTTCTAGTATATTATATATTATATTAAATTAATTTAGGCGGAGGTAGCCCTTATTTAAGTTTTAGTATAATAGATTAATTTAGATTTAGGCTTACTTAGTGTAATATAGTAGAAAAGCTTCTAGGAAAGGTTATTATATTTAAGGTTTATAATATCTACTAGAAAAGTTAGATCTATAAGGTAGATTAATTAATTATATCTATAAGTATAGTATAGTATTTATTATAATAAAATCTTTATTATTAATATATAGCCTAGTTAATTCCTAATGCCTAGTAATTTATATAGTTATATATTATATAGTGATTACTTTCTTATAAATACTAAGATTATAGGTTCTAAGTATAAATAAATCTTAATTAAAGCTTATTAATTAATTAATAAGATTAAGAGATATTATATATTACTATAATATATATTTAATATCTTATATAAGGAACTTAAAGAGATAATATTAAAGGAATCTATATTATAAGTAGTAATTAAAATAGTTAATAATATAATAAAGCTTAATAGCTTTATATTAATACTATTAGTATTTAAAGTATATTTAAGAGTTACTACCTCCTCTCCCCTATTATAATTTATAATTTAAAGAGTATAAGTAATTAATCTTATAATAAAAGTATTAAAG